TTGGGGGGGTGGAGGGGGAATGAAAGGCATTAGGGGCAGAAATTTGGGGGATGGGGGAATAAAGGGGTTTGGGGAGGAATTGGGGAGCTGGAGGGGGGGAAATAAGGGGTTTAGGGAGAGAAATTTGGGGCTTTTAGGATTGAATAAAGGGGTTTAGGAGGGATATTGGGGGGTTGTAAGGGGAGAAGGGGGAATGAAGGGATTTGGGGGGACTTGGGGGGCTGGGGAAGGGATGGAGGGGTTTGGGGGGAAATTGAGGGACTGGAAGGGAGAATGAAGGAATTGTGGGGAAATTGGGGGGCTGGAAGGAGGAAAAAAGGGGGAAGCAAATCTGAGGGGAAAATGGGGGAATATTGAGAGCTGGAAAAAAAATTTAGGGGCAGTAAAGGGAATTGGGAGATTTGGGGGGAAATAAAGGAGATTGGGGGGGTGGGGGAGGGCGGCGGCGCTGACTCAGCACATTCCAGGGGGTGGGGGAGGGGCCGGGGCCGCACCCGGCGCTGGCCTCGTCCCTCCCCCACCTCTGAGGACCCCTCCCCCACAGGGCGACCTCGCCAGGAAGAAGATTTACCCCACGATCTGGTACGGGGACAACTGGGGACACCTGGGGACAGCAGGGACACTGAGGGGACATTGGGCACACCTGGGGACAACAGGGACAGCAGGGACACGGAGAGGACAGTGGGGACAGCAGGGACACTGAGAGGGCAATGGGGACAGCGGGGACACTGAGGAGACAATGGGGACACCTAGGGACAGCAGGGACACCGAGGGGACACCTGGGGAGAGTATGGACACTGAAGGGACAATAGGAACAATGGTGTGACAAGGCCGCCTGGGTTCAACCTGTCACCAGGGTCACCAATGTCCCCATAGCCCTCCAGGCAACCAGGGTCACCAATGGCCCCTGGGCCACCAATGTCCCCACCTGTCCCCAGGGTCACTGGGGTCACTGATATTGCCAGGGCCACCAGGGCCACTCTGGGTCGCTGCTGTCCCCAGAGCCACCAATGTCACTCAGTGCTGTCTCCAGTGCTACCAGTCAGCAGTGCTGTCATTGTCTGCTCTGTCCCCACTGTCACCACAGCTGTGTGTCTCTGCTGTCCCCAGGGCCACTTGTGTCACCAGCTGGCACCGGTGTCCCCCGTATGACCCAGTGTCCCAGTTCCTCCTTTTGCTGCTTCTGTTACCTCTGTGTCACCTGTCCCTTTGTTACCTGTCCCAGGGTGACACGGGGACAGGAGCCCCCGTTACCAGTGTCACCATCCTGAGGGAGGGTTGGTGACACCTGTGTCACCTTACCCTGCTGTCCCTAGAGGTGGGTGTTGACAGTGCTGGGGGTGGCCCCAGGGGCTTGGTGACACAGGTGACAGTGCTGTCCCCCAGGTGGTTGTTGTGGGACGGGCTCCTCCCCGATGCCGGTGTCCCTGGGGGGGTTTGGGGACACTGATAGTGGCACAAGTGACAGCACTGTCCCTTTCCCAGGTGGCTGTTCCGGGATGGGCTCCTCCCCGATGCCACGCGCGTCGTCGGCTTCGCCCGCTCGCCCCTCACCGTGGAGCTCATCCGGGAGCAGACCCTGCCCTACCTCAAGGTGACAGTGCTGTCCCCTCCTGTCCCCTCCTGACCTCACCTGAACCTTCCTGGCCCCACCTGTCCCCAGGTGACCCCCAAGGACAGGCCCTGCTTGGCCATGTTCCTGTCCTACCTGTCCCCTGTCCTGGTCTGTCACTGAGAACAGGGCCTACTTGGCCGTATTCCTGTTTCTGTCTCACCTGTCCCCTGTCCCTGTGTCCCTTGTTTCACCTGTCCCTGTCTGTCTCCACAGGTGACTCCTGATGATGGTCCCTGTGTCCCTTATCTCACCTGTCCCCTGTCCCTGTGTCCTCTGTCTCACCTGTCCCCTGTCCCTCCCTGTCCTCACAGATGACCCCTGAGAACAGTCCCTGTCTGGCTGTGTTCCTGTTCCTGTCTCACCTGTCCCTGTGTGTCCCCACAGGTGACCTCTGAGGATGGGCCGCACCTGGCCACGTTCTTGTCCCTGTCTCACCTGTCCCTGTCTCACCTGTCCCCTGGCCCTGCCCCCTGTCCCTGTCTCACCTGCCCCCTGTCCTTGTCTCACCTGTCCCTGTCTCATCTGTCCCGTCTGTCTCACCTGTCCCTGTCTCACCTGTTCCCTGTCCCTGTCTCACCTGTCCCTGTCTTATCTGTCCCCTGTCCCTGTCTCACCTATCCCTGTCTCACCTGTTCCCTGTCCCTGTCTCACCTGTCCCTGTTTCACCTCTCCCTATCTCATCTGTTCCCTGTCCTTGTCTCACCTGTCTCTATCTCACCTGCCCCCTGTCCCTGTCTCACCTGTCCCTGTCTCACCTGTCCCCTGTCCCTGCCCCCTGTCCCTGTCTCACCTGTCCCTGTCTCACCCATCCCCGTGTGTCCCCACAGGTGACCCCTGAGGATGAGCCCCGCCTGGCCACGTTCCTGTCCCTGCAGAGCTTCGTGCGGGGTCAGTACACGGACGAGGCCTCGTTCCGGGCACTGGACACTCACCTGCGGGGGCTGCCCGGGGGCGACCGCGCCCACCGGCTCTTCTACCTGGCACTGCCCCCCAGCGTGTACACACCTGTGACCCAGAACCTGAGGGCTCTGTGCATGGGCCAGGG